ACTCCTACTGGGACAGTGTCCTGTCCCCTCCAATGCTGCATTCTTCCCACCCTGTCTGTGGGCATCAGGCCTGGAGCTGTCTTGGCAGAAACCTGAAGTTTTGGTCTGTAGAGACTTTTTTACCTTATGTTTTTAATTGTTATTTAATATGGGTTTAATGCAATGTCCTACAAATCCTTAATACTGTCTTGGTTGAAATGAAAACATACGGATCACTATCTTTTCACAACCTTCAGCAAAGGCCAGTGCAAAATGCTGGTCACCATGTTCTACTGGGCTTCCTCTGTTGCTGGAATAACGTAAGCCCAATATTACATATATTAAATATGAGTATGCCTGAAGATCAAGAAAAGATAATTACTTTTACCAACTCCTTCATGTGAGTTAGTACTGAGCAGACTGATGGCCGCCCTGAAAAGCAGACATTTCTGAGCTGGGTTTGGAAGAAGCCTAAGGGATTTGGCTTGCACAAGTACAACTTCCTGCTCAGTTCAAAGCTGGAACTTGGAGTTGGCCAAGGGTGGCCAACTCCTGAAGCCTTGGGATCTGGGAAGACAATAAGGAGGGTGTGATAGCCAGTGGCAATCTGGCAGTTCTCTGACAACACTGATGAAAAAGAACTAGAAAAATCAACACAAAAATCAGTCCTCATTGCTTGGCTACAATAAAAATCTGGATCTTATTTTCTTTTTATCTGGGAAGTCAAAGCTGAGATCTCATGGTCTCAGTGCTTCTCAGCCTCGCTGTGCCAGCTTGTTCAATTTTTTTTCTGCAGCAGAATTGTGCCAGACTTCTGCAAAGTTTTAGTTTATTCTTCACCCTTCATATCTCCCTTTGCTCACTTTCAGAATATGCCATCTGGGATTCCCTGACTTCACTACTGTCACAATAATCACAGGTAAGAGTGATGGAGACTTCATTAGTCTTGCAATTAGTGCTGTAGGAGATGGTCAGAAGGTGAATTAATACACATTAGTTGGTTCTTTTGAAGGTGCTGCAGGATCATTGTTAACATGCCGTTAACAACTGCACGTGGGCTGTGCATTGAAGCCAATAGGTGGGAAAGGCAATTTATAACACACAAATGCACAGTCCTGGATCTCTAGGCTCAGCAATAATGAAGGCTTAAAAACAAATAGAGATGGACTTCCCTGTGTAACACTTGCTGTCATGAAGGAATTGTTAAAATTCTCTGCTTGCTGAGAGCACCAAAAAATGGAGCCATAATTTCAATTCTAAAAAAAACCAACCACCCTGAAAAATCCGAAAATGAAAACACAAATATTACTATGCAATGTCCAAGCGTCACCAAAGAAAGAACTGGACAAATAGGAAAATAAATTGTAATTTGAGCTATGAGCCTCAAGGTTTAACATCACCATATAAACAGGTTTACATAATGCTAAGACTGACTTTGGACATAATTCATTAAGTCCCATACTTACATGTTCTGCATTTTGCCACATTCTCTTTGTTTCTTACTGCCTGATCCCAGCAGTGTTACATGGCTGGTGTGCAGAATGGGCAGGGAATTGAAACGAGCAAAGCATCACACACAGAAGATGAATGTGTGCGTGTGGAAATAACACCCCTCTGCCACAGAAGGAGATTCTGATCAAAACTGGCTTTCAGGTGGAGTCCTGTTCAGCACAGACTAGCCAGTGTGACTTTAAAGTAACACACATTCAAATGAAGATGCATAACCTGCTTGCTTTATACAAACTGTAGGTCCCTGGTCTGAATTCTCCTTTTCACCAAATGTAAGATCTGTGAAGTTATTCTCTTCTAACAGTATCTAATGTTCATCCCAGGCTCCAAGTGCTTGCCATTTCAGAACCAGAAAAGCCAGTAAGCAGGATGTCAGTCTCAGCAGCACTACCACAGCATCAGCTTGGAGCAAGCTCTGATCCCCAGTGCCGAGTTTTGCTTTCTTTGATTTTTCTTCACAACTACAGCACATTGTAACTCAGACACAGTGCCCCATATATAACTTATGTATCTGTGTCTGCATATTAATCACTATAGTAAAGGTTTTCATTTAGGTCCAAAATTTGGCACTGCCCCCAGATGATGTTCCAAACATGGCAGCTCATCTTTTGATGACTTCCAAGACAGACAGTATTTACTCACAGCATAATGTCACACCATTTATTTATGCTGGCCTTGACTCTGAAGTTCTTAGCATCAGCCCTCCATGGAAGTTTTGCCTGAACAAGACTGCAGGACCATCCTCATCCATTTCACACTGTTGAAACAGCAGCACTGGGATTGCCAGCTTGCTACAAAAACTTCTTTGCGTAGATGCTTTTTGTCTTTCAGAAAAATAGAAACTTACTTTAAATTTTGTTTTGAGATATTTTAAACCGAGTACATAACGTAAATAGATACATCAGCAACCATTTTTTTTCTTTCCCTTTTTTGTACTAAGATAAAATAATTTGCACCTTACATTATAAATTATAAAAGTGGCAGATTTTCTTCTAACCACAAAAGATGGGATCGTTGCCACCTTCTGTTTGGTCTAGTTAATAATGAAAACTTACCAACAAAGCACGTGAAAACCATTCCTGCTTAAGAATTAAAAAGAAGTATCAAATTTAAAAAACAAGTTATCAGGACGTGTGTGTGTGGGTGCACCCTTATACTTATGTGCAAGACAGACTGAAGATTTCTTGACTACCCCGGGAGTCCTACTAAGAACAACCACTGACTAGGATTGTTAATGATTGTTACCATGTGCCCTAAATCTAATCCATGGGGCTTGAGCCGTGTAGGTGCCATCACATCCGTGTGACTAAAGCCCTGGAGTTCACAGTGAGTAGTGGAGGTCCCCAGAAAACTTGAAATTCACAAAGGAATGTTAGATTAAAAAGAAGCACTGTTAAAAACCCCTACTGAATAAGGAATAACACTGTGTTTCTATTACATAAACCTGTTGGCAACCCTGGTTTTAAAGATGCTTGCCTGTAGAGCAGGTTGAAAAGCTGGAACATCACCTTCACTGGACTATTTCAAGCAGCTCTCGTTGCTAGAAGCTTTCCTAAAACTACAGCTCTCGTGACTGTCAAAATCAAGACAAAAAAAGAAAGGGAGGTGTGAGGGGAGGAAGGCCTTTTCTTAATAAAGGCAGCTTCAGTTAGTAAGATAACATAATCTTCAAGCTGCAAAAGCAGCACCTACTAATTAGTCATTGACTAAAACATAAATAATAAATACCTAAATTGTTCCTTCTATGCATCCATTTTTGTGCCAGATAAACATTTCAATGCTCTGCCTTAATGCCAGCACAGCTGACACTGCAATTTCAAGTCCAAAGCAAACTGCAAGTAGCTTTAAACCAATACTATGGAGAGAGACACTACGAGCCACTGGGATCTGTGTGTTATGGTCATGCAACTGTTTAAAAGGGAATTCAGCCTTCCTGTGAGATGCTATTGTAGAATGATTTAAGGGTATATTTCCCTCCTGCTGTGGATGCTCATCAGCAGAAAGTTAGCCACAAACACACAGAAGGGTAAACACATACCTAACTTTACTACATCAAGAGGATTTCTTTCCTAATTAACCCAATAGTTTTAACACTTTTTGGGTTATGTTGTTAACAAGAGATTACCACAGCAACAAGAAAAAAAAAGTACATGTTCTATGCTAAAATGTATTAGTTAGAGATGAGTTTGCACATAAAACTTATATTTTTAAAAGTTCTTGGAATGTAAAGGAATTTTTTTTTCCTACTTTAGAAAATGCAACATAAAATGATGCAAAAGATGCCTATTTAAAACCAGATGCAGCCTGCTTAAAATTCTGGAGACAGGCAAGGGTAAAGTTTCTTGACAGAGTAAAGTAAAAGCACTAAGAAACATGGCACTGCTCTCCTTCACATTCAGCTCATGGCTTTGGTCAGGAACCCCTGTCCTGCACAGCCTTCCAGGATGTCCTGCACAAGCCTAGAATGACCCTTCTTCATCAAGAGCAGATCAAAGATCAAAGGCGGGAATTAATGTTAAGACTTACTAGCCCTGACTCAAATTAGGGAAGAGATGTGTTGTTGCAGATTTAGGTGCCAATTCTACTATTTTCTGATTCCACACAACTCCACTGCCTGAGAAGCAGCTCAGCTCACAAGCCAAGTCAGGAATGGGTGTGAGCAGAGACAGCACAATCCATCCCAGCTACATGGACACACCTGATGTACTGGAAGTCTGTGAATATGCTTTGGTGCTGGCAGGCTTAGAAAAATACTAGCAGATTTGAAAAGGCTGAAATCCAAAATGATTCTTTGTTCTTTAAACTGATACTCCTAGAACTGAGACCCTGGACCCGAGGCATATGCATGAGACATAAAAACCTAATACAGCAAAACACTGCTTGATTTAGAGTTCTATAACGAGATTATTCTAAAAAGCCCTCTGAAAATAATCTGAAAGTTTCTGGTTTTGTTAATTTTCTCTAACTAGGGTAACAACAAACATCAGCTGAATCCAGAATTACTTTGTGTTATTAAAAAAAACTGTGAGGGTGTAATTTCAGGTTCTGTGAAGTACTGCAGCCATACTAGCCTGCAGTAACCAGCCTACCCAGGAAGCCTAAAGTAGAAGGGAAATTTGCTGTGATTTATTCATGGTAGCAAAACAAGGAAAGCCTATGAAATAGCAGAGGTACAGATAAATTTATTTTTAAAAAACACTCCTAGCAGCTGCTCCTTCACTGCCCCCTCCATGGTTTGTTCCTACTGTTTGAAAGCCCACAGAGGCAACAGCAGTAGGGCCCCATGGGACAGCAGAGGCTGCTGGACAACCAAAGCTGCTCCTGACACAACAGATGGAGGGGGCAGTGCCAAGGGCCTTGTCAAAACTGTTTTTTTTTTTGTTTTTTTTTAATGAATGAATTATATTGCAATAAGTAAAAAAAAAAAGGATAATGTTCCCTCGAGAGATTCACATATAAGCAAGGTTAAATTCCCTTTTAAAAACCTATGCCAGAGGGTTCCATACCGGGTGCTACCTCAAGCGGCCGTCAGGTTTGATGGGGCCCAGCTCAGACTTGGGGTCTGGGCTGAGGGAGCTCCAGGCTGTCTGAGCACAGCCCTGCATGACTGGGCAAGCTGTGGGGCCCATGCTGCAGATGTCCACAGCTGACCAGATGCTGCTGACCAGGGAGTCCACCCAGGCTTCCAGACGGGCACCCACCAGTCCTGCGTTCCTCTTGGCCTGGTCCACGCGAGCAGCACTGATGGGGATGTTCAGGACGGGGTTCAAACCCTGGAAGCTCTGCTCCATGTATGCGTTCTTTGGAGGCCCGCTGTGGTACTTCATGGCTTCCTCTGGAAATGCAGAAGTAAATCCAAAAGTTAGCACATTAAATAACACCAGACCTTCAGGATCTAAGGCTACAGAGAGAAAGAAAAAAAAAAAAAAAAAAAGCAGCAATAGTTAGTAGTGTATTAGTCCATTTCCCCAGCACTGAGAACACGCTGTGTCCTGAGGGTGACTGCTCAGCTCTTCAGCATGAGGACGTGCTCACCACTACGAGCTCCTCTCACCATGATGCAGTCCCTGCAAGCACGCAGTGAGCAGAGTGGAGCACTGAGGATGACAGCAGCATTGTCCTCGTTATCATCACATACAACCAACATCCCCAGAGCTGCAGGACAGCCAGGCATGACACAGAGCTGTTTGGCACAGTGCAAGAAAAAGGAAGGCCCAGTCTCAAGGGCACCCCAGCTATAAGCTCCTGCCTGTAGCTGGAGCCTGATCAACATGGTGCTCCTTCTTGGGAGAAATCAGTTTTGTATTCAGGAGAAGCTAATTTTGCCTCTTTCACCACAGATGAAGCCTGGAAGATAAATCCCCGTGCAGCTGAAGTTACTCCTGGGGACACCCAGGGAAGGCTGTGCTTTGAAATCAGGAAACAGTTCAAGGGTGCTTGGTGTGAGAAGGCTAGCTATCATTGGTTTGTTTAGGAAGAAGAGTCAAGATCTCAGCCTGTTTCTTTTTAACAAACTGATGAACATTGCCCTGTTGTGGAAAAGTCACAATATCTGTTAGTTCAGTCTGCCTTTAAAAACTGGGTAGTGCCACTCCTGGCACTGGAAGGACAATATCATGGCCTTGGACAGACTGGACCAATAATGAAGTATGTGTAACCCCAGCATCCTTCCTGGAAGTGCTTCAGTCTTGCTGGGACAGTATTTTGTTACTTGTGCCAAGTAACAGATTACAACCATGTCCTAATGACACTTTTCTTTGCATTGTGGTTGCTTTCCTTACAGTAACTCTTCTACTGCAGCAAAATTCAGTACATTGCCCTAAATGCGTAATTTTGCAGTAGAAATCACTGTCAGGCTGTGATAAGGCCTTCAAAGACCTTGAATTGGGACACTGGGGGGCAGACCACCCTCGCCTCAGGCTGGCTGACTTCTTAAGGTCCAAGAACAGACCAAGGTGCTGCTCATAAAATCAGAATGGGTCTCTGCAAAATGTTCACTAGTTGCCTCTTGGGAGTAAATTTTCAACCATTCCTTTCTGTTCTCAGCTGACTTCCCCAGCATCCTTGCACAGAGGATCTGTTTAGCTCTGCCAACACACACACTGTCTAGAACACAAAATGGGCCCATTCAGGGAGCTCCAGGAGAGGAAAGCCACCACTCACTCAGCGTTGGGAGGCCGGGAATTACATATTCAGGGCTACAATTCCTTCCACATGTCCTTACTGCCTGCTCTGCAGCCTGACACTGAGTCCTTTCTTCCATGCAGAGGAACAGTATCTCAGGAACTGGCAGTAAACCAGTACATTTATTTAGAGGGAAAAGGGACATTTAATTGGAGCTTTGCTGTTACATTTGCAAAGTCTTTAATCTCAAATATCGTGTAAGTCTATTACTTTAAAACCGCAATTAAATTAGTTTATCACATCCCTATCACCATTATGCCTCACGTCACTGTTCCTGTATTCATGAAAACCCCTCTTTTTATGTTAAATGGTAGCTATCCACAATGATTTTTAGTCAGAATGAGTTTATCCCATGAACATGTGTCAGGAGTGTGTTCTGCCAGAGCACTGCAGTGTAAGAAACAGGACAAGTACACATGATTACATTTCCTCCTTTGGAAGCAATTAAATATGAAAGACTGTTTGTCAACATATTAATTAAATAGCAACATTTTAAGTAAAAATCCCCAAACAACTAAGAGTTGGCATTACCAGCAGGATCATCTGATGGAAACAGGCAAGTCAGACAGCTTGTTGGATTAAAGCCTGTTGTGCATGTGTTCAGTGCATGGAACAAGAAAGACCTTTTTTTTCAGAGAAATAAAAGGATGAAACAATTTGCTATTCTTTCTGGCTCAGCCCTGCGCTCCTCCTAGGTTTCAGGACTTGGTGGATGATCAGAACCTAGAGAATGAAACCTAGAGAAACTGTAGGAGCCAGTGCAGGCGATGCAGCAGGAGATCATTTTCTCCAAGTCTGTGACCCTTGTTGTTTAAGATCAGTGGGGCTGCTGTTGCTAAAATAAGGGTGATAACCTCAGTATCTTCAACAAATTTAAATCTCTCCACTCTGCTATAGCTGTAATTGTGTCAGATGTGCTGTGCTTCTCTGCTCCAGGCCTGCTGGGGCTGCCTGGCAGGTACAGCCCCAATTGCTTCATGGGGCTGAAGAGAAACTTTTGAAAAGCCACACACAAATATCAGGAAGAGGAAAGACTGCTGAGGACAGTAAAACAGGGAACAAAAACATTCAATGTGCTAAGGGCTACCTCTGCCCACAGTGAAAATGTGCTTCTCCCATGTGAGACACATGATAAAACCCTGACAAGGTACTGGTAGGGGATTGCTTGGTTCCACAGCAGAAGGAGCACCCTCAGTTAGGTGTCTGTGTGTCCTATACAGAGCGAGCTGGGTAACAGCAATCCAAGTGCCGATCTATGGACTAATCAATAGGGAATGCTGAGAATTCCACCCCAAACCCTCTACTGGAGCCTCCACGTCTTTGTTCAAAAGTTGACAGGAGAAAGTGAGGAGGATGCTGCTCATCCAAGCGATGGCAGCTTTGGAACATCCCCCTTTGCATTGAAAGAAAAAGAGAGAGAACCATGACTTTTATAACTTACTGGTCTGGGACAGGAGAGGGATAGTGTGGATCCTAAGCCCTGAAACAATGTATAAATGGAGCCTGGAGTCACTAGGCATACTTTTAAAGTACTAACACTTCAGTCCTTGCTCATGAAAAAATAAAGAGGAGGCTTGGCCCTGTGAGTGGTGTGGTTAGACATTTACATCTGTACAGTCAGAGCAACCAATTCAAAATTCAGCTGAACTGCAGACATTAAGCCAGATGTTGGGGGTTTTTTTGCCAGCAAAAACGTCCAAATAGCCCTTTGACTTC